GCTCTAGCAATTCCTGAGCCCGTGATTGGGAAGTCTCTTTCTTTTTTGTGCATCTGGCTTTTCCAGATTGATTTCTTCCGGGTTTTTTAGATGCTGTTTTTGTTGGAGTTAATGCAACTTTTGTTTGTATTTCTTTACTCCATGTAGGATGTCGTCGCCTGCTTTTTGTGTACGGTGCTTTTGCACCCTTTTTTTGTTCCTTTTACAGGTTACTCATGTATTCTTTCTTTATTTTAATGACAATGGGCTAAGCCCTCAATTATACCAAAAACAAAATCTAAATAATTCATTTTGGAAAAAAACTTACATAAAAACATATATTAAATACAAAATGCATAGGTTTTTTTATAAGTCTTGCTTTAGAAATATGTTATTTAAATTTATTAAAAATTAATTTTCACAATATAGATTTCCTGACATATACATTTATCTTCCGATTTTTTTTTTTAATTCTACTTGGCAATAAAAAAATAATACATACAAATTTATTATTCGAAACTCATCAAATAAAAAAACAAAAATATTGTATATATTAGTAGACACATTACCAAGCAGAAATTAATGGGCCATACAAACCCTTAGGACTTCCAGAGCAACCTATAGACGTTACTACGATACACCATGAAAAGCCCCTTCCAACGTAAATAGAGATGGGAGCACATAAGACAACTGGGGTGTAGCACGAGGCTTCGTGCCACTCTGATTAGAAGTTCGAGCTCCCATCAAAGAGCCGAAATTTTATTTTAGTTAACCTAAAAAAAGCACGAAGCCATGATTAAAATTATTGACATATCTCGGAAAAAAGAAAAATATATATATATTGATATATCATCAAAAAATTATCTTAATTGGGCATGAATCTCCAGCAAAATCAAGTTGGAAGCTCCAGAAATTAAATAAGAGATTATGTGAACCCCAATTTTAGCAAATGTTTTTTAACAAACTTACAGTCAAACTGAACGTCTCGAAAATACGAACCCAACGACACCAAATTCAACTCAATCTTAGCCCAAATGAGTCCAAATCAAAAGACCTAAAGCGCATTAGGAAGTTTCAATCCGTAATTTGGATTATCAAACAGTTTCCAAACATGACATGTTTATAGTTGAATCGAGCGGCTCGACGAGACGAATCCAACGAGCCCAAGATCATCAAATTCTCGTATCATTAAAACATTAAAATGTCTAGGAAACGGTCCATGATTGAGGGAATCCACATCAGCCCTCCATTCAAACCACTCCCAATTTACCCTTCATCTTCCTCCTATTTATTGGTCATGCTACTCTCATAAAATTATAAATAGACCCCTCAATCTTCGTTGAGAAGGGGGTAGAAAGAAGGAGACCAAGCAAGAAGAGAAGGAAGAAAAGAAATACTTCTCTTGCCATCAGAATTCTCCTCAACCACCTCCCGGTCACCGACCAACACCGGACTTCCACCCGTCACCAGACCTTTCCCGGTCACTGGACTTTCATCAAACTTCTACCCGACGCTGGACTTTTGTCCATTGCTGGATTTCTACAGACATTGGATTTCTGCCCGTTGTCGGGCTTTCATTATACTTCTACCCGACGTCGAACTTTTATCCATCGTCGGACATCTGCCCATCACCAGACTTTCGTCGGACATCTACTCGTCGCCATGATTTCTACCCGACGCTGAACTTCCGCCCGTCGTCAGATCTCATCAGACGCCAGCCTTCCACCTATTTCAAGACTTCTAACTGTAGCCAGACTTCTGTCGGATTTCTACCTGACGCCGGACTTCCACTTGTCGTTGAATATCTACCCAACACCGGACCTTCGCCCGTCGCCGGACTTCTGCACGTCGCCAGACTTTTGTCGACTTCTATCTAACACCGGACTTCCATCCTTCATTGAACTTCTGCCTGATGCCAAACTTCCGCCCATCGCCGAAGTTTCAACCTCCGTCATCAACCAATTATGGTCCATCTGACCCCCTTTACCAAACAACAATCTTTCTAACCACTATCACCTATCGACTATGGTCCTTCTGACAACGGTCTTCTGACAACAACCTTTTTTACCATTGTCGCCCACCGACTACGATTCATTCGACCTCCGTTGCCAGACAAAGGTCCTTCAGACCACTGTCGTCCACCGACTACAATCCTTCCGACCTCCATCGTCAGACAAGGGTCTTATCTGACCATTGTCACCTGCCGACTATGATCCCTTAGACCACCATCACCAGACTACGCTCTTTCCGACCTCCGTCGCTCGCCGACTATGGTTCTACCGACAAATAAATATATAAATAGTGATTCTTTCAAGTCTATCATGCAATGCATTTTATATGATGTATATTTATTACATTACGCCAAGGTCTTTCCCCAATGAAGGGCCTCGTTTGTAATCAACTGCAAATAATAATAGATTCATTTAAACTGGGCCAGTCCCCATTGTTTTTTCCCTTTTTAAGGTTTTCCATGATAAAATCTTGATATCTCTTATGAATGCTACACCATCTCTTTTATTTGATTGTGAGTTAGATCTTCATACAAATCTAAAATGTTAAACTTTATATTTCTCAGCCGCTGCAAATATTCCAGGATGAAGCTATTATAGATAGCATGAAATAAGACTAAATGCAAAACTCCCAAGCAGATACTAAGGGTCTGTTTGAGACAGCTACAACTTTTTATAAATTTGATTGTAAAGATGTTGTGGTGAAGTTAGTTTTTTTAAAAGCTATTGTAGAAAGCTACTTCATATCACAAAACTTACTAAAAACAATACAACAATAACATCAAGCTTCTATCCCACTTCGTGGGATCTATTACATGAATCCATTGTCTCCATTGTGTTTTGTTAAGAGTCAAATTCTCATTTTAATTTAATAAAAAAATATCATTTCTAACATTTTCTAATCAAGTCTTTTTAGGCCTACCTCTATCTTTTTTAACATAGACCAAATCTAATACATACTCTCCTAATCGTGTAATTGAAATGTCGAGGTTTTACATGACCAAACCATCTAAGGAGACTAATACTTTATGCCATTGAACCTTTTCAAGTATATATATATATATAATTATATATATATATATATATATATTTGGCTTTTTGGCTTTTTGTCTCTAAGGGTAAAGTCACTCATCCACCAAAGCATTCTCAACACCTAACTTAATTTAATGATTCTCTTTTTATGGCCAATATTTTGCACCATAAAATATTATAGATCTCACCACCATCTTATAAAACTTTCACTTAAGTTTGAGGAGTACTTTTCTATCACACAGCGTACTTGATGCGTTCATCCAGTTCAACCATCCAACTTGAATTCTAATAATAATATTCCCATCTATTTCACAATTATTTTGAACAATAGACCTAAGATATCTAAAAGATATACTATTGCTAATGACTTGATCGCCCTAAACCACAATCCCCTCACTAAACCTACTACTATTAAAATTACAATAAATGTATTCGATCTTAGATCTACCTAAACTAAAACTTTTAAACTCTAAAGTTAACCTCCATAATTCAAATTTTCCTTCAACTCTCTCTAATATTATCAACAAGAAGAATATCATTAACTAAAAACATATGTCGAATAAGCACATCCATGATTAAAGCAAAAAAGACATGAGCTTAAAGCTAATCATTGATGTAATCCAGCTAAAATGAAAAAATACTTAGTCAAACTACATTGTGTTTGACTATAATCCAAAGAGAACATGTTTCTCGATCAGAAGTGACATCACTAGCATCCAAAGAGAACCTTTGTGTCCGATGGGGCAAGCCAAAATTAATAAACATAACCATTTTGGCCTTTCATTTGCTTCTAGCCAAGAATTAAAAGCTAGGCTAAATTTGACGGAATAGCATTAACTGTATGTAAGCCATACACTACATAAGAGTGAGGTAAGGTGAAAGGATAAAAGATTTGGAATTTGAGCAAATTTGCATTACTTTCTTATGTGTGTGTGTGTAGGAATGTGGATTCAAATGGAAGTTATTCATGTGCTGAGTGTGAGAGTGGGTCCGTATATGTCAGAGGGCTCATAATAGATGCTTGAACAGTGTACAATAAATTAAAAATTCCGAAGAGAAATCTGCTGATGCTTCTCCCTGAACTTCATACCCACACGGGCATGTATTAGATGTAACTTTTTTTTTTTTTTTAAGAAATTTTGGGGCTTTGCCCATATATTAATGACTAACAATTACAAAAGTGCAAAAGGAGAAATACCAAAAACAGAAGGAACAAGAACTACAGAGATGAAAAACAGGGAAAGAAAATCATGATAAACCAAGAAAAAGAAGGTTAACCACAAGCAGCCGTTGGACGACAAACTACCAAAAAAGGCTCAGGTTCGAGCCAGCCGCCAAAACATCATCAAAATGAGCTGGGATGAAGAACAGTAGCACCAAAACTGATCAGCCGGGAGGTAGAAGTGCCCAGATTGCTTCAAAGCCAGCCATGTGATGAGTAACGGTAAGCACGAGGGCCATACCTGAAGGCACCAAAGTGAAGCACCGCCCAAGACTCATTAAGCAAAACGAATACAACCAGCAAATGACCATCGAGTGAAAAACAAGAAAAGCAGCTGGACTCATTCATCATCATCTGCACGAAAACAACCGCAGATCCCAAAAACCAGATTCAAAAACCATAATCCAAAACAATGAGTCATGGCAAGCAGAAGGCTCTTTACAGCCATTCCAACGGGGAGAACCAGCCGGAATTAAAAGACCATCCAGCAATCTGAACACGCATTGGACAATCAACAATAGATTGCCAGTATTATAAATCTTTAAGAATGTCAAAACCCCTCTTGAGCTCATCAAAATTCCTCCATTTTTTGACTCTTTGCAATAGAGCATATCTTATAGGGGTGAGAAAGGATGAGGGGCTGATTCATGCATTCCCAAATCTACGGTTATTCCTTTCCCTCCAAAGAAAATAAACCGTGCATCATACAGAAAGAAAGCAAAAACTATATAAAATTCAACGATAAGATGCAGAAGATAGAGATTAAAAAAAAAAGTTTTATTCAGGCAGAAACATGAGCAACCAGCACTATGACCAATAACCCTCAACTCAAATGGCAATTGAAAAAGAAAAGAAGGGAAAATATTAGTTTTAATGTGTACTTTCAGCAGTGTCATGTATCCGACTTAAATTTACCTTACAATCTGGCATTACATCCTCACATTCCTGATGACTGTCCATAACATCAGATATAAGATCTGATAGCTGTTTATTGTAAACTTTAGAAGTGTTTTTGACATGTTCAACTTCCATGTCAACAGGTGAACTTTTGGTGCCAGGACTGCTGCTTTTGTCAATTTCTTCTTCCATGGGCCTCACAGTATTTTCATCTGAGCCTGGATTTTCCATGACATTGATGGAAATAGTATTGGCAGGTAAAGGTTCTTTGGAAACAGAAGTACCGACTGCATTCATTTCGTCCACATTAGTGGCTTCAGGAGAATTATTCACGTCTTTTGAACAAGAAGCTAAAACTGGAGGCTTTGCTCTCCTTCCATTATTCTGCTTCTCATAAACTGACATGGCTCTCTGCAATCAAGGATTCAGTAAGCATGACGCCATTTACAGACATCATAATATATTTTGCAGAAAGAAGGCAAGACAGTTTGAAATGTTTAAAAGGAACTGAAATTTTAAAGAAAAAAAAAACTCCATTAAAGGCCATCATTAAAATAAAAGGGCGTGTTTGGCTAGAGGAAAAGCTATCAGTTTATCATAAGAAATAATCCAGTAATGTTTAGAAATTTAGGATTCTCATTTAGGACGGTTTTCTTACTGCTTCTTAAAGCAGCTTTCTAACACAAACGAAGCCTTAGACTTTGTTTGGAACGGCTTTTTACTGCATCTTAAAGCAGCTTTCTAGTATAAAATTTTTATTTTTTACAAGAAAGCTACTTAAAGCAATAAAAAAGCCGTCCCAAATGAAGCCTTAGTGTTAAAAAATATTTAAATGCAATACAGTTGAAAAGGTTGGAGTAGCTCCAGTAGAAGATAAAATTAGAGAGAGTCGCCTTAGATGGTTTGGTCACATAAAACGACGGCGTTTCGATGACCCGGTTAGGAGAGTAGAGGTATTAGATTTGACTTATGTTAAGAAAGGTAGGGGTAGACCTAAAAAGACTTGGTTAGAAAATATTAGGAATGACCTTTCTTTATTAGGTTTAAATGAGAATTTGACTTTTAATAGAACACAATGGAGAAAAAGGATTCATGTAGCCGACCCCACGTAGTGGGATAAAGGCTTGATGTTGTTGTTGTTGTTGTTGTACAGTTGAAATGAGAAATAAATACTCATAGCGCTCAATAAGAGAATTTAACATAGGATCAGTTAGTAGTAATTACAGGTAAGATACCATGGCTACTTGGGACTTTCAAACTAAAGATTGCTATAAAGAGCTTGCCTGATGGTCTGTACACAACGACAGTCCCTAAATAAGCTTCCTTAACAAACCGATACACAGTTCCTATTAAGGGAGTGACAGATAAAAAATCTACTAGCAAATTAAAGATTCAGCCATACGCTACAAGCTACAATGATAAAATACGGTTTCAAGACAAATTATTGTGGGTAAAAACTAATTAGTTAATGCAATACAATAAAAATACTAGAATTTGTTTATTAACAGACGTTCAAACAAATCATCCCTGCTGAATGAAACAAGCAACTAGAGTAATACAGGAACCTCAAAACAAAACTGAGGATTTTTTAAATCAATTTCACTACAATCTCAAGTGATTTTGGTATTTTTCACAGCGTTCTGGCAGATTCAGGATCAGATCTGGGAGGTACTCAACCAAAATAGGTTTTTCGTTTTAAATCAACATACAACACCAATAATTTGGGAAATTATACCTACACCCCTTTTGATTTGAGGTTATCTCCTTGCATGGGACTAACTGCCCCTCTCAGGGGTACTCACCAAATATCTCAGCTTATTTTCTATTAGTTTAGAAATTTAGTTCTTGATATCATTTGGAAATGGAACTACCCTTCCGGCATTGAATTACCCCTCCCTCGTGGCATTCCTTAAAATCAACTTAATGCCAAAAATAAGCAGACCAGACTCATAATTTAGAAAAATGAGACCTGCTATTTTGGGATTTGACTCTGCCATCCCCATAAACGTGTCAAATTTACATTAATATGAAGAGTTGGGATCTACGTTGAAAATGGCATGACAAATAAATGGAAACAATCCGAACCAGACCAATAATATAAATGCATTGAGAAACACAAACAGACATGAAAACCAAACAAGACCCAAGTACAAACCCAACAACATAGCATTGGGGTGTTGTTAACTCGATTAAAAATAAACAAAAAGTAACTGATTTACACACCATATTCTGAAAAAAAAAAAATCAAGTTGTTAACACTCAGGGCTGAAAGTAAGATAAGTCTGCTAATTAAATGGGTTAAGTTCGATTTCAAGTTGACCCTATAACTCATCCGTTTTTTTTTTCTTTTGAATATAGCAAGTGCTGACATAAATCTTATATGGATTAATCTAAAGCTAAAATTTTCATGTCATATTCGATTCAAATTAATGTGTCAGAATGACCATTAATGTTGGAAAACTGAACGGGCTCCCAACACCCACAATCTAACTTGCAACCATGCATCCAACATCGTACGGTCAAACTCTCCTCAGTCAGTGTTTGCCTGAAACCAACTTATCACCCCAATGCTTAATAAAAAAGAATGCTCTCTTTGGGATTTGACCCGGACCTCTTGGCAGGGGATCCCCTCCCTTCCTTCCAGGAAATTCACCTAAATTACCTTATCATTCAAAATTAATTTATTCTTTCAAATATAAGATCATTACCAACTCTATTTGGGTAACCACCCTCCTAAATATCGCACCACCACAACCCATTACCATGCCCTTCCTCATTCCCATTTGCATACATAATAAACATAATAATAGAAGCATAAAAATATGTGAACCCTTCCCCAAAAAAGACCACAAAGCGATTAACAAATTCTCTAAAAACTAAAGCAAATCAATCGATCATCCATCCCTCTCTCTCTCTTCCCTCATACACAAGCACACCAATAATATGTTAAATGATGATAAAAAGTAAAGTAGGAGGAAATTCCCAGTTTCATTGCATGAAAGAGAAATAACCCTCTAAGAAAGTGGAGATTCCACAATTTCGAAAATTAAATCAAGTATAAATATTTTAGCTCGTGATCTCTAAAATATTATTAAAATATATTTCAATCATTGGAAGCATTTGGAAAATTACAACAGAGGAAAAATTTCCACATCCAAGAAAATAGTTAGAATAACCTAAATTACCTTGAAAGCAGCATCCGCAGCCGTTGGAAGCATAGAACTTGGCTTTGAAACCTTAGATAAAATATGCACTTTATGGTTCTGTAAGAAGAGAAACTCAATCAAGAACAGAGAAAAATGGAAAACATGGAATAACCGTACATCAAAGGCAGAAAAGAAAAAAAAGACATAACAGCGAACAAAAACAAATGGCACCTTAGCATTTTCAACCATGGAAGTGGCGTAAATACCAGTTGATTTACGAGCTGTCAATATATTCTCAATCTCTTTATAAAGTTCCGGGTGCGTAAGTTCGGCTGAAATTTCATCTCTAGATAAATAAGCGCTTAAGAACTCGCTATTATTCTTAAGACTTTTAGAAGGAATCGAACTCCTTCCAAGTTTAGTATCAACAGAGGCCTCTATAGATTTACCATCTGGAGGATCATTGTATTGCTTTAAATGAGTGACATCATCTGATACATGTTGCAGATGGTCCGCTTCATTCTTAGGTTGTAGGCTAGAATAGGCACCTCTTGATTCATCAGCTACTTCCTGATTAACAGAAAACTCAACATTCATGCTTGCAGACTGTCCCTTCCACATTTCAGCATTCGACGCCCAACCACGTCCGCCCACTAGATTTCTATTCTGATCCCAATCAGGTCTCATATAAACTTGTGATTTGTCACCATAAAGGGCATTACTACCATCCCACCCTTGCATTTGGGGTGGACAGGAATCATCTACTGGATGATGCCATCCAAACGGATGGCCATGACTGGTAAACCGGTCTGCTACCTCATGCATTTGATAGGGAATACCAGATTGATTTAACTCCATATATGGCCTTGCACCAAACAAGGATGGAGGAGGAAAATGCTGCATACCTGAATGAAACCCAGGAGCTGGTGGCCCATGCTGGAACGGCATAAAACCATTTGGAACTGGAGCAGGCCAAGTTGGATTGTTTTTCCAAGTCAATCCCGGCCCCCTTTCAATATTTGGATCATTATTTCTTTTGTAACGGCCGGTGGGTCTGCGGTCCCCTGATTTAATTCTATTATCATCCTCAAAAATGGAAGGGCTCTCCCTTCCATGTCTCATAGGTGGCTGAGATAGAAGATGACCAGGAGAACTCCCAGGGAAATTAACAGTACGCTTGAAGGGTGATGGGGGAACAGAGAAACGTTCACCATTGTGAAACTCAGCTTTAAAATGGCTGTCCATACTTGGATTCTCCATTGATAATCGCCGTTCCCTGTCATCTGTAATAAGTAATTATTTCAGTATTTTAGACTTGTTTTTTTTTTTTTTTAACTTTATCTTCAATATTAACATTAATTTGTCTAACTACTCGAGAACCATCTAACACTTCTTGAAGAACAAGTATAATCATAGCCACCAAATTTTGAGCTTCAATCAAAAATAGAAGAAACAAATCCACGTAATAATTCACCTGATTTTGTTCGATCTCTATGCTTAATCTTTTCTGATGAAAAAGACTCAGAAACTCTCTCATGAACTACTGAAATTCTATTATGGTCTTCAGTACGGCGAGCCCTATCATCAGAAACCGGGTCTCTATTTTGCTCCGGTTTTAAGCCACGCCTGCAGCATATTAATTAGAAATTAAACAATCTTCCACAGCTAAAAACAGGTAGATTAGACTAATCTCTATAATTATGCAATTAAGTTTAATGAAGATAAGTAATAACTATGGCTGAGGAATATCACTGAAAAAACAAGCAGATGATTTGGCATTCAAAGTAATAAAAATACATTCATGCAACACAAAAACTAAAAAACAAACAAATTAGAGTCACAAGTCATAGATGGCATTACAAAATAAGTTATATTATGTTGCAAAACTACAAACAATAAAGGAAAAAATTTTCTATATAGATGTTAGTAAAAAGAAGATAAAGAGACAACATTTACAACCAATGATTACCCGCTTCATTGTTCTGCCCCTCTTATCTTCAACAATTCAAGGGCTTTTTAAGTTCCTAATTCGCAGCCTAACAATAAAATTTGCAACCATTACGATCACCAAACCAGATAATGTCCTAAAACCAAAAGGAATGCCCACTCCTTCCCTTCCTCTTCCATCATTTAGGATAGTATTTTCTAATATAAAAGCAACCAATTACTTATCTCGTCCTGAATCCTAATCAATCTAGCTCTAACCCTCACAACCAAACAACAAAACAGACAAGATGAGTACATATCAGTGGTGGCTTAGAGAGTTATTGTGAGGGGGACATCTTCATGGAATTTGAACAGTTTGCATTAGAATCTGGATAAGGAATAATCATAATCTCACTACAACTCATACACTGATCAAACATAACTTGCACACTTTAATGACAAATTCTCAGTCAGTAATCATATAAGTTCCAAGAGAACAGAAATATAACAGGTATGAAGTAGCAGGACTTACAATGTGCAAAAGATTCAATGCAACTTGGAACCCACTATATACTATGCTATATCAAAACCTTCATAAAGAAGAGGATGAAAACAAGAAAATTCATGTGCAAAAGATGTTACAATAAAAAAGGAAACCTGTTGTGATCATTGGAACTATGAGTCTTTGGGCTCGGAGACCTCTTTGAAAGATTATTTGAGAGGGAAGTAACAATCTTGCCTTGATGTTTATATTCTATCTTACTCAAATTGGAAGCATCCTTCTCTGTATCCAAGCGTTGTTCCTTGGCATTTCTATGTTTCAAACCATAATGATCATCATTTTCATCATAAGAACTTTTGCGAGCCCTGGTATCTTTTGACTTCATTCCATGATCCTCAGCACGTGGGCTAATTTCACGGTCACTTCCATGAAGCTTACTTTTCTTGGAGTAACTCTCAATAGGCTTGTCTCTATCCCTAGCATATTTACCCTCAAGCCTGTCACTGGTATAATCTCTTGAAGAACGTTCTTCCTTGTACCTGATATCTCGATGTCTATGATCCCTCTCAATATCCTTGTAATGTTTGTCCCGATACCTATCATCTTTATACCTTTCATCTCTATACCTTTCATCTTTGTGCCCCTCTACCTTATGGCCTCCATTCTTGATGCGATCATCCCTGGAAGATAACCGCTTGTCATCAATGCTTTTACCATCATCCTGCCATTTATCAAAGCCACTTGAGCTCCTTCTTCTCTTTGTAATGAATTTCTCAGAATCTTTGTCTAACTCAGCACCGTGCATATCCTCTCGAGCTTGAAATTCTACAGAACATTTAAAATCACAATTTCCAAAAAAAATAATAAGTAAAACAAACAAAAAATAAATTCTGCAAATTATATCATCTTAACATGCATCCTTCCATTTCAGATATAGAATCGACTAACCAGCCAAACCTAAATTCAAGGCACTATCAAGAATTTAAGTAAAAAAATGATGAGGCAACCATAAGGAATTCCAAGGTCTCAGAACATCAGTCATGCAACAAACACTATAGCAAATTTAATGAACTCGTTTCCAAACATCTGACTTAGCTCAAAGTTTATGTTAACACAATCCAAATAAATATTTGAAAATTTAATCTTCCTTTGAACATATTCAAAATTTTGAAATTTCAGCTCTCAGGACACCAGTCACATCAGAAAATAAACTCACCATAACTTAATATTTTAAATAAAAATATTGTCAAAACCCCTACAAAGAAATTCATAGGACACCAAATTACAGTACCCACCAAACATTAGTACATTACCATTCAAATATAGATAAAAATGAAATTTCATGGACCATTCCATGTGAACTAAAACAATGCAAAATATTAAAAAACATGTGAGAATTTTCAGGAATTTATGATTATACATGGAAAACCCTGGAAAAAAATTAAGGTAGCCTTAGCAGTAACAATGTTTTGAGGCGTGAAATAAAAGTCCAATGTAGTGCAAAATAAGTACACTTATAAGCATAATAGAATCCTATATCGAAAGGTGCACATTAGAAAACAATACCAAACAGAACAAAAGCTTCAGTTTTCATCCTGTATTTGGACCAGTTTTCATCCTGTATTTGGACACTGGATTTAAAGCAACCCAAAAAATAATTGGAAGATACAGGATGCGATTTTTTTTTTTTTTATTGGAGCAACCAAGGTAATACCCACTAGGGTTAGTTATTAAGCTTGTTTAACATAAGAAAACTCTAAGCAGACCTTGAATCAGGATCACACCTTTAGAGGGTGAAAGGAAAATAAGAACCGTGCCCAGAACTAATTTAAAAGAAAAGGCCTACCATTAAATCCAATTCTGCAGAAACAGCATCATGTATATCAAGCATGTAATAAGTAACCTTCTTTAAAAAGAATGGGTTCCGAATTTTTCTTTTCTTCATTGGGCTTCATTTATAGTTCCATCACCAAAAGAATTACAAATTTTCTTAAACATCTCAACCTCATCTATAGTTCCTTTCTCCAATGGAGTCAAGTGATTTGCCTAAACACATCAACTACACAAGCCTTCGTTATTGTACCTCCATGGCTCCATGAGATTTCTGCCATTCTGAACCATTTCTATAGAGCATTCACTAAGGAAAAAAGATACAATTAAACAAAAAGATAAGAATGAGGGAATTGGAACAAGCCCTATCTAATCCTAAGAATGCTTGAAGATCAGAAATACTAACTTGATAGAACACTGCACAAAACCAAAAACTTCTTGCCCAACAAGCTAAAAGCAGATAAAGAAGAAACAATAAATCTTGCTTTTCTAACGTCACTATCTGAAAGTATAAGAAACTTGCTCATTTCCATGTCAACAAGAAAACTTTCAGTGGTCCACAAGCATATAAGACAAAATCCTGCCATCTTATATTTACGAAACAAGGTCAAACGACATAATATTTACTATAAGCCTCTTCAAGACCACTTAATCCCAATAACTACATTATCAGCACAATATATAGAAGAAAAGGCTCGAAGAACTTCACCTATAATGCATTTGTGAGCAAAAAACAAACTTCATAAAGAAAAATGTGCCTATAGGGTGAAGAAGTCCACAATGAAAAACTCAACTCTTTTTATCATAGCCATAAATCAAGGTGCTACATGCGATAATTCACTAAGCACCTAAAACATCCATTGGTTCTAACCTCAATAACTTTCACAAACAAGCTGGAAGCATCCTAATAAGAACAGACTGATAACATTGATGCTGACCTGAAATTCCCAGCGACCTTTCAAGTAAAATCCAGCGTGAAACAAATGTTTAAAATATAAAACAAAATCACTGCGTGTGAGGCTATATGTAAACCAGAATCATAATACAAGACCATACAGGATTATAGGCAAACATATCATAGTGATTCAATGCTTTGCTCAGTATGATATGCACATTCTTTGAAGTAAAGTGAATAAAAATACTCAACCTTGATTGGCTATTCAAAGATAATTTTTGCCAGCATAATGTGAAATAACATATTCAGCTTAAATAAGATAAACTAATGTTCCAGTTACCTTACCAGTACTATCCTTTTTTGTCAACCACTCCTCCTCAGCACCTCCTCTCCTGGAATCATGGCTCCTCATCTCTACATCGGCAGACTTCCCATGCCTGGAATCCTGAACTCTCTTGTCCCTCTCTGACGCGCGTTCTCGCTCCTTTTCACTCTCTGAAACACGATCTATGTCCCTCTCTTTATCCTCCCTTATCTCCCGTCTGCTATATTCTTTCTCAGACCTCCTCTTCAAAGATTCAGTCCTACTGCTGCTCATCCCGTACCTCTCTGCAGAACCCTCACGCCTTCTACTTGACCTGCTCTTCGATTCAACAATCAAAACCCTTGACCTCTCCCCTTTCTCCATATCCAAAGATCCAAAGCTTTCTTCTTTGCGACGCTTCTCCGCTAAACCATCATCCTTTCCGCTACCATTCCATCTATCAGGTGTAGCACAGCCATCTCCTCTATCTTTCCGCTTCCTGCCATGTTCCGCTGAACATTCTCCATTTTCAGCGATGCCCTTATTCTTCTCCTGTGAAGAGAGCAGCGAGGGCTTTCTCTTATCCGCCTCCAAATCCCTCGGAACCCTAGCCCCTGAACCAGAGCTTGCCTCCTCTAGTCTCTGCCTACGATCTCTCGAGTTTCCATCATCCTCAGAGTCAGACCGCTCTCTCGCATCTCTTGAACTATGCTTATGAGAACGGTGCGACTTGTGATGAGAACTCCTCGGCATATTGATAATACTTAAAAACCCTAATTTCCAAATCGGCAAATCAAATCAGCAAATAAAACGCAGAAAAAAAACCCCTAATCAACCCCCTTTGAAAATCCGCCGGCGAAAGCCAATGAGATCTGTCCTCAAACCGCAGTTGATTTCACCGGAATACGCTGCCGCACAAGAAATGGCTCGGTTGGAACTGCAAGTTATAGGAAGACAATGAACTAAATGAATTCGATAGTGATTGAAGAAGCAGAAGGACAAGGACGGAGAAGATTTAAAATAAGAGAGAAGTAGCCACAGCTAGGAGGAGGAGGCTGTTCATGGAAGAAATCTCGGAATGGAGAGCCCATCTGTTTTTTTTCTTATTTTTCGATGGTAGAAATTGACGATAAATTATAAATTTTTCTGACGGAATAGCCCATTGGTATTCATGCCTTGCACCCGAGCTGCTTCGGTAGAAAGGGATATTTTTGTAAGTTCCAATGGTGGGTGGCCCGGGTTTCGTGTGAATTGGCGCTGGACCGCCGGCTGTGCGACGGAAGCGGTCAAATCTGCGAACGAAAAGCCTGGGCTGGGCATCACACAATAATAATCGGTCACTTAAACTAAATAATAATAATAATAATAATAAATTTTCATATTGCATTGTGATTTATCATTTAGCGGATTAGCTAAGCTAGAAGCTGTATAATAAGTGAGCTCTATGACGATTATTTTATATTGAGGCTCCTTATTTAGGATAATAGCGGTTGGCTTAACGAGTTGGTGGACAAGTGATGAATAGGACAGTTTGTAGGCTTTTTTATGAAAATTCGTTAGATGAGGGAAACCAAATAAATATTATGGATCTATAAAATCAAGAGTAATTTAAATGATGGTGTATGTGTGTGTATAATAATATTATACAATTTTGAGTGAGATCAAATATAGATGGACAACAAGCACACAAAATATTATAATTATAAGATACAAGTTTATGTGATTTAGTGAAATTCATATAAGTAAGTCACAAAGCTTCAAAAGAGGTACATAAAAATATTATAATTTAGAAATAGTTTTACCTCATGAGCCTATGAGTTTGTGTCAAAAATATTTACACCATCTAGACATTTCATCATGTAAAAGTAGAGCTATTAGCAAGGGGGCACGGGCCCTAGTTTTATATTCAATTAAACCCGAGTTTATCGGTTCAGTGTTTTTTTTTTTTTCGTCTTCGCCCATCGCGACATTCTGCAAGTCGCAGCCTTCTCCCTCGCCTCATGTCCCTCACGTGTGCGCTTGTGCGGACAGTTAAGGGCCTCGAAAGGTGCAGACAACGGCCGGTGGCATCAAGCTTGCCATTGAGTTCCGCAACTTTCTCCTCCCTCGCCTCACAACCCTCATGCGCACGCTTGCGCGGACAACAGTCAACAGACAGCCGCGAGTTCTAGATGGTTGCCGACAGTGTCAGGCGTGCTAGACATCCAAGCTTGTAGACGTTATAAATTATAAGTTGTTTACTATCTTATATTTAATATTATACAATTTTAGATAATAATTGAATTAAAACAAACAGACCCGGATGAAAAAAGTTGAGAGCAATAAATTTTCTGGCTCCGCAACTAATTATTAGGCTAAGAAAATATGTTATGCTAATCATGTATAAGATCTATAAAAAAAGAATTGAAATTAAATAAGCAAATAAGTGATGAATACGTTGATGTATCTTAACATATACATATTTTGAAATGATTAATTTTAAAGCAAATTTATTTTCTATATTTTACATAAGATCTTATTATTAATAAAGCAAATCATTCTTTCATACCCCAGTTTATCGGTTCAGGGTTTTTTTTTTTTTTCGTCTTCGCCCATCGCGACATTCTACAAGTCGCAGCCTTCTCCCTCGCCTCATGTCCCTCACGTGTGCGCTTGCGCGGACAGTTGACGGACTCGAGAGGTCCAGACAACGGCCGGTGGCCTCAAGCTTGCCTGTGAGTTCCGCAGCTTTCTCATCCCTCGCCTCACGCCCCTCATGTGTACGCTTGTGCGAACAATAGTTAGCAGACAGCCGCGAGTCCTAGATGGTTGCCAACAATGTCAGGCGTACCAGACATACAAGCTTGTAGACGTTATAAATTTTAAGTTGTTTACTATCTTATATTTAATATTATACAATTTTGAATAATAATTGAATTTAAAAAAAAAACTATTTGTGTCAGTCTCAAACCAGGATAAAAAAAGTTGAGGGCAAATTTTAATAAAATAATTTATGCCTCCCCTCAATAAATTTTCTGGCTCCGCAACTAATTATTAAGCTAAGAAAATATGTTATGCTAATCATATGTAAGATCTATAAAAAAAGTATTGAAATTAAATAAGCAAATAAGGGATGAATACGTTGATGTATCTTAACATGTATATTTTACATAAGATCTTATTATTAATAAAGCAAATCATTCTTTCATAATTTAAGCCTTAGTTATTTTGTAAAAGTTATTGAAATAGTTAATTTGGTAGGCTTTACATGTACTTGTAAACTTTTGAGGGCCTCCACAAAGTGAAGGAATTAATAGCCATAAATTTTTGCACGCAGTCCGTAAAGATTAAAAGATATAGGTCGTGAAAGATTAATTAATTGCAAGTCTCCGCAGATTGTTCTGAAAATATGCAAACTACTTCGCAGGTCTCTACAAAGTGTAATGGTCCTTCTCTAAGCTAATTTTAGTAATGAATTATCGTCACGTAATCAAGTCATTTGGTGTCCAATCAAACAATATTTTAGTATTTTTTTTAGTATTCTCAATTGGGAAAAATATTGGAATTCAAAATTGGGTATAATAAATTTTGATGCATATTTAGATTGGAAATTTTCAAAATTAAATTGAGGGTCATTCAAATTCCAATTTCACGACACTAAAATCCGTCTAATGAGAGCCTCAATGTGCCCAAATCGAGAGCTTGAAATATATTTGAAAGATTTAAAATATTAATTGGGTGATAAAATGATATCTAAATATAGCATGCTTATAATGAATCGAGCAACTTGACGAAATTAATCCAACGAGTCCAAGATCACTAAATTTAAGGCACTTAAATGCTAAATGAATGTTCTATAATCAAGAAAATCAATATAAGTCATCTGATGGAGTGCTCTAGATTTTTTTTTTTTTCATATCTACGGAGTATGCCACTCTTAAAAGCTTTAAATTGACCCTCATTCTCTATATATGAGGGAATTTTTGGAGAGGGGCTTGGACCTTGCCCTCGAAGAGAGCACTAAGGCTTGAAGAATCCCAAAACTTCACTCGAGCACTATCACCGACAAAACCTCATATCCTGGCTACCACCACCAGGCTTTCACAAACTAATTGTCATAAAACGTCCACTTGTCCTCCTTTGTGACACCTTAGCTAGGCCAATACATTGAGCCTCCATCCGACCACTATTCGACCATCGTTGTCAAACCTCCATGTGGCCACCACCGCTTGGTGTTCGCTTGTCCATTGCCATTGAACTTCCCCGACCACCATCATCTAACCTTTTCTCTCCTAGCCGCTATCGTCAGACCCTTTCACCGATTACGATCCTTAGAACACAATTGGCCTACAATGGCTTTTCAAACCTCAGTTGCCCATCGACTATAGTCATATTGACAACTGTCACCCAACTACGATTCTTTAATCCAACTATGGATTTCTGACCTTCATTTCTTATGAACCACAGTCCTTTAGACCTCCGTTGCCAAATAATGATCCCTCCAACCTCAGCCACTCGATTATGATTTCATTGACCTCTTTCGCTCGACTACAGTCCCTCCAAATAGTGTTACCCAACTATGGTCCCTTCAACTTATGTGGCATCACTAGGATCCCTTCGACCTCTATCACACTACTACAGTCCCATTAGCCTTTATCGCTCAATTATGATCCCATAGGCCTCGATTGATCGCTAAGGTCCCTCGTTCGTCGGTTGCCCGACTACGGTCCTCAAACCTTTGTTGCCTAGTTGTTGTCCCACCTATCTACATTATGTGACTATGGTCCCTCCGACCATTATCGCTCTACTATAACCCCTCAAACAACCATCATCCATCTATGGCTTATCCGACTTCCTTCGCCTAATTTCGATCCCTACGACCATCATTATTTGACTATGATCCCTACGACCACCACCTTTATTACTCACCATTGTTGGATCCCTCCCACCACCGTCACCCAACTAAGGTCCCTCTAACCTTTGTCACCTAATGATGGTCCCAACAACCTCCACGGCTTAACCATGGTCCCTTTGAACTCAATCACCCGAAACCAGATTACGATCCCTCCCACTTTAGTCATCTAACTACGGTCCTTTTGAGTAAACGAAACAAAACAACAATCATTTAAAACTGCTCTCATGCTATTGGGTTTTTCTAACTCTAATCATGTAATATGCTTTACACTTACATGATTTGTATTTCATGCATAATAAATCCTTTTCCTAACGAAATGCATCATTTGTAAACAACAACAAACTAGTGGAATCATTTCAACTGGAAGAGACCCTATGATTTCTTCTCTTTCAGGATTTTCATATAAAATTTTTGGTCACATAGGATTCTTTAGGGTTTAGGGTTTAGAATATATTTGTGTGCTTGATCTTCATACAAAGTTAGGACATTAAATTTTTTTATCTATCTACCATTGTGAATGTTCCACCACACAACAAATAGTATGTTTAATACCTTGAATTTTAGGGTATTTGTATATATATCCTATTAAATAATTTAACTAAAGGTTAATGAAATAGCAAAAACCTAGAGCCACATTTTGAAAACAAACCACTAAGTGCTATTCTCTTGCAAAATTTTTTTTTTTTTTTTTGTATACTTTTATTTTTTTCTAGAAAAATTGCATGATAATGTACTTACAATCTTGTGATATATTAATTTGAAATTTAATTCAAAAAGGACATAAGGTGCCAACTAGTAAAGTATATGGTGTACTGAAACCAAAATAAATTAAGAAATGTTAATGGAGTAAATTCTCTTTATTGTGCATGTAAATATGATTATTTTATAAATAAGTTAAATCTTCGAATAGGAATGGAGACTTAGGGCAAGTTCTTGATCATATGTAAAGGAAACAATAAGGAATGTAGGACTAGATTTAAAATTTTGATGCTTGACTATGAGTTTTTCAAAATGAAGACTACAGAAAAAATTACAAAGATATTTGATAAATTTGCAAAAACTATGAGTAGCCTACATGATGATAAGGAACTGACTAATACAAAATAAGTGAACAAGACATTGTTGTCACTTCCTAAGAAACAGGGTCTAAAAGTGAAAGCCATTTTAAAAGTAAGAGATTTTAGCAATTATTTACTTGACT